GAAGGCTGCGACAGTGATTTGTCAGCAGATTTTCTCCATTTTGGCGCTAGTGATTTTCCTTCTAAAAATCCTTTAAAAAAGTGCTTCAAAATCGTTTTTTTTTCGCTCTGGCGTCGAGTTCCGACCCAGTTGCGCGTAGTTCTATTGCGTTTTGCAACTCAGTCTCTGCAGATCGCATAGTAATGGCTGCGTCAAGGTTGCTTCTTGCCACGGCTATTTTGGCGCTAGCAATTTTCCTTTAAAAAATCCTTTTAAAAAGTGCTTCAAAATCGTCTTTTTTTCGCTTTGGCGTCGAGATCCGGTTTTGGAGCTGCAATTTCCGACCCAGTTGCGCGTAGTTCTATTGTGTTTTGCAACTCAGTCTTTGCAGATCGCATTGTGATGGCTGCGTCAAGGTTGCTTGGTGCCGCGGCTGCATGCGCAATACTATTGTCTTTTGCAACTGGACTTCGTAAATTGTATTGGAGTGGCTGCATGAAGGCTGCGACAGTGATTTGTCAGCAGATTTTCTCCATTTTGGCGCTAGTGATTTTCCTTCTAAAAATCCTTTTAAAAAAGTGCTTCAAAATCGTCTTTTTTTCGCTCTGGCGTCGAGATCCGGTTTTGGAGCTACAATTTCCGACGCCGTTGCGCGTAGTTCTATTGTGTTTTGCAACTCAGTCTCTGCAGATCGCATTGTAATGGCTGCGTCAAGGTTGCTTCTTGCCACGGCTGCATGCGTAATACTATTGTCTTTTGCAGCTGGACTTCGTAAATCGTATTGGAGTGGCTGCATGAAGGCTGCGACAGTGATTTGTCAGCAGATTTTCTCCATTTTGGCGCCAGTGATTTTCTTTTTAAAAATCCTTTTAAAAAGTGCTTCAAAATCGTCTTTTTTTTCGCTCTGGCGTCGAGATCCGGTTTTGGAGCTGCAATTTCCGACCCAGTTGCGCGTATTTCTATTGTGTTTTGCAACTCAGTCTCTGCAGATCGCATTGTGATGGCTGCGTCAAGGTTGCTTGGTGCCGCGGCTGCATGCGCAATACTATTGTCTTTTGCAGCTGGACTTCGTAAATCGTATTGGAGTGGGTGCATCAAGGGTTCGACAGTGATTAGTAGTAGTGCTGGGAATTGATTAATGAAAGCTCAATAGATGACATATGAGAAGGGACGAGATGAGAAGAGATGAGCTGGGATAAGGTGAGAAGAGCTCAGATGAGATGAAGTGTGGAGTGTGAAGAGTGCAGTGTGAAGTGTGGGGCGTGAAGAGTGCAGTGTGAAGTGTGAAGTTTGGAGTGTGAAGGAAGCAGTGAGAAGTGAGACGTGTGAAGTGTGGACTGTGAAGTGTGGAGTGTGAAGTTTGGAGTGCAAAGAGTGCAGTGTGAAGTGTGGAGTGTGAAGAGTGCAGTGTGAAGTGTACAGTGTGAAGGAAGCAGTGGGAAGTGAGAAGTGTGAAGTGTGGAGTGTGAAGTTTAAGTTTGGAGTGCGAAGAGCGCAGTGTGAAGTGTGAAGTGTGAGGTTTGGAGTGTGAAGGAAGCAGTGAGAAGTGAGAAGTGTGAAGTCTGAAGTGTGGAGTGTGAAGTGTGGAGTGTGAAGTTTCAGTTTGGAGTGCGAAGTGTGAAGAAGTGTGAAGTGTGAGGTTTGGAGTGTGAAGGAAGCAGTGAGAAGTGAGAAGTGTGAAGTGTGGACTGTGAAGTGTGGAGTGTGAAGTGCGAAGTGAGAAGTGTGAAGTTTGGAGTGTGAAGGATGCAGTGAGAAGTGTGAAGTGTGGACTGTGAAGTGTGAAGTGCGAAGTGTGAAGTGTGAAGTTTGGAGTTTGGAGTGTGAAGGAAGCAGTGAGAAGTGAGAAGTGTGAAGTGTGGACTGTGAAGTGTGAAGTGTGAAGTGTGGACTGTGAAGTGTGAAGTGTGAAGTGTGGAGTGTGAAGTGTGAAGTGTGAAGTGTGGAGTTGGAAGTGTGGACTGTGAAGTGTGGACTGTGAAGTGTGGACTGTGAAGTGTGGAGTGTGAAGTGCGAAGTGAGAAGGAAGCAGTGGGAAGTGAGAAGTGTGAACTGTGAAGTGTGAAGTGTGGAGTGTGAAGTGTGGAGTGTGAAGTTTAAGTTTGGAGTGCGAAGAGCGCAGTGTGAAGCGTGAAGTGTGAGGTTTGGAGTGTGAAGGCAGCAGTGAGAAGTGAGAAGTGTGAAGTGTGGAGTGTGAAGTGTGAAGTGTGGAGTGTGAAGTTTCGAGTGCGAAGTGTGGAGTGTGAAGTGTGAAGTTTCGAGTGCGAAGAGTGCAGTGTGAAGTGTGGAGTGCGAAGTGTGGAGTGTGAAGACTTTGCTTCGTCTCTCGCTGAAAAAAAAAGCCGCTTGTCGAGGGAAGGACACGGTCGGGACAGGCTGGCGTCGAACTATAGGTCATTTATTCTTGGGAAATTTCCGCCGCCGGCTTGCCCGGGTCTATGTTATATATATATAATATACATAATATATATATAATATACATAATATATATATATATACATAATATATATATATAGTATTATTTCCAAATATGTTTTTTTTAATTCCGAAGAAACTTGCCATGTTTTTATGCAACTAATGAGAAGTTTCGTCGTTTGTGCCAGGATTTCATGGCTATGGGTGAGGCCGATGTAGAGGGAGAGGTGGGATCTGACACGCTGACTGGACCCTGTGGAGGACTTCTTTTCAGCATCATGAGATGCTCGGTACCTGCTACTCGCTGGGAGGCAGTGGATGACTTTGAGCACATGAAAACTTATGGCATCTTGGCTCAGCGAATGAGCTGGAAGCCCCCAAGCCCAAAATGGCAGTCCTCGCAATCCTCTGCCCAAAATGTCGCAAAATAACTTTGATTTGATCTTGACATGCCTCGAAGTTATTCGAATAAGGTCTGAGATTCATCCCTGCGCAGATCATCATTTGTGTTCTGCTTTGGCTCATCGGGGCCATCTACATGGCTGTCACAGCGCATCTTGGAATCGAACTCCGGAGTAGCTTCGAGTAGCTTCGAGTAGCTTCGAGTAGCTTCGAGTAGCTTCGAGTAGCTTCCGGCATCTTCGATTCGTTTGCGTCTCGACATCTCGACATATCTCCACTGAATCTCCACTGAATCTCCACACATTGAATTTCGTCGAGCGCCTCGCCTTCGCCTAGGAACGAGAACATCTTCCTCGCAAAGGGTGGTCTAGATACCTTTGCAAATGGGTGGACATCAGTGCGAACCCATAAGGACACGGTGCAAAGAAAACGGAGGATGGTGATGAAAGGGTCAGAGTCTTAAAGGGAACTGAAAAAAAAGATAGTACCAAGTGGTTTACATCTCCAGTTGAAAAGGACACTGACATGTGCTCATTCAGCTCCGCAGAGCTCAAGTTTGCTTATATCATTTATGTTATATATATATATTATTCTTTATAAATATAATGATATATTTATTAATGATTATTAATATGTGTTCTTTTTGAAGGCTCAGAGTGTCTTTGCTTGTGTTGTTTTGGCAGAGTATGAACGTATTTGTTCTTCTGCAATGTGTCAGGACTGTGAGGACTGTGCAGCGGGAGGGAAAGCTAGTGGGATCCAGCTGCGACGTTTCATCACAGCAGTCGCAGAGGTTTTGGAATTTGAAATGAAAACCTCTGAAGCTCTGAAGTTGGTACTGGGCCCAGTAGGGCTCAATGCCTGGCTAATGGCTGATGAATCTGTTTCCCTTTTCCACTTCTGAAAAGCCATTTGAAAAGTCAACAATCCTTCAATCAAACCTCTTGTGGACGCAGTTTTCTCTTTTAGATCAGGTCATCAGGAGTAGCTCTCCTAAGCGCAATCACATACAATCACAATTTGGATATGGTAATTGAAATGTAATTGAAACGTAAAGCAGCAGTCTTGGCAGTCTTGGCCTTTGCAGAAACGAGATTTTGTGTTGTCTACGTGTTATCTTTTTGTGATAGATGCGACCTGATCACCGCATTGCAGGATCTTCGTTGGCAAGCTATTTGGAGGTTGAAACTTGGCGTTTCGAGTGTGGAAGCTATAGAGCACATGCACAAAATGTGTAGTGGCAGAACAATGAACAACAGCAGGAGCCCTCTCTTTTATTATACAGTACGTAGTTGTCTGGGATTGTCTGAAAATAGGGAGTACCACATGGTTATTTTAGGGAGTATGATTCCAAACCGTGGGATTTTGCTCGAATTCCCAGTGCTTAGTGGGTTTCAATTTGTGGGTCTGGTGCATTGTTTGGTTGCCACGCCGGCTGGAACAAAGCCAGAACGGAACCCTGGAATCCCTTCTGCTGGGTTGCAAAGCTGGTGTACGAATATAGAAGACTTTTAGTATTTTAGTGCGCAAAGGGCGCGTTTGAAAACAAACTCCAAGCAAACAAAGCAAACAAAGCAAACAAAGCAAACAAAGCAAACAAAGCAAACAAAGCAAACAAAGCAAACAAAGCAAACATGTAAACTTAAACCTGATGAAACCTGGCACCTGAAACCTGCCTGGAACCGAAACATATTCGACACCAAATCCTGGGCACCGGAAAAAAGGGCTGGACAAATGAATTGGTTGAAATCCAAGGCAAACCTGATCCTCAAAGCACGTCAAAGGCAATATAGGCAATTCATGCCAATTCATAACTATCTGAATCATCTGAATCTAACTCCCAAAGAGATGGTATTTGAATATGTTTGAATATATTTGAATACCAGAGTCAACTTGTGATGTTTACAGAAGTTGCGTGACGCAGACTTCCGCGGAGCCAAGGATCACGTACCAGTTTACTCATGGTCACTTCACTCATATCGCCATGAACACCTTAGTCGCCCTGTTCACCGGCATTCCCCTGGAAGGACACTAGCTCATGGGCACAAAAGACTTCAGCAAGACTTGCCTGCGCATACATTATCATACATTAAAATTATCATCATTCATTTTGGTTCTATAGTTCTTGGTCTCTTTGAAATATTGGCATTGAGTTGGAACTCTATGTGCCCTTCAGTGAGAGGATTCCATGGCCCAAAGCGCACATTCATCGTGTTCGAAACGAGCGTGATTTGTGGTGGGCTGTGGCATATGGCATGGAGGCAGGTCAACAGAGTGTAGTTGGTCAAACTGTATGAGAGGATGATAGTAAAATGTTTATGTGTATATATATATATACATATACAAATAAATATATTTGGTATTTTTATGGGTTTGCATCTTGTTTGCATCTCGGTTGCATCTCGTTGCTTCCCATGGTTTGCTCTGATCATTCTGCGTCACTTTGTACCGTGATGTGTCAGGCCCCATGACTCAGCTCTTGTTGGCATGTCGGCAGGATGCTATGCCCTTATGGCAGCTTGTGCAGCAAACAGAGGAAATTATCAACTGGAGATGCAAATCAAGCAAGTCAAGTGAATCAAGTGCCTTTGCGCTTTTTGTTTTGTTGCTCCAAGTTAAGAACGAGGAAATAAGGATATATTGGGACATTCAAGAGACTACAGCAGGACTTGAAAACACCTTAACAACCTGCCATGGAAAGGCAAATTAAAGAGTCGGTTCGGAGATCGCGAACGCGCATTTTTGTAATTTCTGATAGACTAATATGAATTAATATGAATGAATTCTGAATGAACATGAATGATATGAGGGGCTAGGACTTGGATGGACCTGCTCTTCATTGTGAACGAGGGTGATGGCACCTGACATCCCTTGACCATCCTTGACCATCCTTGACCATCCTTGACCATCCTTGACCATCCAAAAGCGTGGGGATGTTTGCCAGGGCAATGCACCATCCGGCATTTCATCGCCGAGGCAATGCACATGGCCGATTTGATCATGAATTGGGGGCAGAACAGGCGGATACTTCTGGTGGAAAGATGTGGAAAGATGTGGAAAGATGTGGAAAGATGTTCACAGATGGGAGCGAGAAAAGTGAGGCTGACTTGGGTGACACTGTGTGCTGTTGGCTGTGTCCTGTTTGTCCTGTTTGTCCTGTTCTAGGTACCGCTTCCCTCGACTCTTTCTTCTACTCCTTCTGTAACTTGGCCGAAAGTGCCATTTCCACCGCTTGACACAATGCAGCATGGTGCACAGTGACGATTTTTTGGTCAGCCATGGTCAGCCTGACTGTGTAATGTGCGGATGGCTTCGTACTGCGGACAATGAGGATTGGGCTTGATGTGGGTGCTGGAGCAATGGCGAAGCCCGACGATGTGACTGGACATGCTGCACATTTTGGTGGCTATCTTGCAGGCTGGGCAGTAAAGGGACACCTGTCTAATTCATAGACGATGCCCAAACCGAGAAAAGCATGGCATCTGAAATTTCTCTGAAATAGGCATCAGTTGCAATCTCTTAGCTAAGCACAACATGGAGAACAGTCTGTTTCAGTCCCTCTGATCGAAGCCCAAAGAGAGAACCTTCAGAACCTGAAGACTTGACCCTCTGACGATCCGAGAAGCTTTCAGAAAAGCTTGCAGCTCTAAATCACTTTAAATCCAAGTGTTTTTTTGAGTGCTGAGAGCTCCAGGTCCATTTTTCGGTCTGTCACCAGTCCAAGGAGAAACAAGAAGTAACACACGTCCCCAGAAGGCAGTCATGACCTCTTGGTCCTCTTGGTCCTCTTGGTCCTCTTGGTCCTCTTGGTCCTCTTGGTGACCTGGTTCATTTCAATGTCGAATTGACGTCGAATGATGTTTTTCTTGAATCCGCCAGGACTTATCTTCGGACTGTGCTTTGTACGCAATGTCAAGGTTACCAAATGTGAGAAATATCTACAGGCCGGAATCTCTGCAGCTCCTTGAGACCAACATTTCACATGTCCTTACGTGTTTCCTTGAGTCATCTTAAGTCTGGTTTCCCAGCCGTGCATTTCACAGACATGTGACATATATATATATATTATATCTAACGAATTCTAATTTCAACAGGCAGAATCAGGCACCCTAAATCAACACATATCCGGGAAATTAGGTGTTTAAGTAGAGATGTCAGACCCCATATGTGTTCATACCCGTGACTTCTCATTCGTGCTCAATGTCCATCATTTTCCATCATTTTCCCCACATTTTCCATCTATTTCGCAGAACTCTATCCCTTTGTTCCTACCTGTTCCTACCTGTGGATCAGCCACACCAGAGGCCGTGGGAGTCTTCATCGGCTGTGGATGCCTGATCTTCTGCCTCGTCTGGACGGGATAGCAAGGTTGTTTAGCCGCTACATGTTTAGGCCTTGTTTAACCACCAAATGTCACAAGATGTCAAGCATGTCAAGCTAACCTGTACAAGATTCTGGTTCGTTTCCAGGGTTTGTACAGTGCTTTGGCAACCAACTTAGAGTACTTCGAGTATCTTCGAGCGATGTCCAAAGAAACTCTAAGTTGCGCGGGCTATTTGAAGGTGCCCCTCTAGTCCTGGCATTGAACATTCAATTCCACTATACTTAGCTTCGCACTTCTCACATCTCAGATCCATGTGTTGTAAACTCCGCCTTTTCCAGTTTTTGTTGCTATTCTATTGCTATTCTATTGCTATTCTATTGCTATTCTATTGCTATTGTTCGTGGAGGATCGCTCTTTGGGCTCCAAGATCACTGTGGGATGGTGGTGTGCCCTGGTGCTGGGCACGGCAGGTGTGGGAAAGTCTGCGCACCGAGTTATCGAATCGGCGTCGACAGTCGTTGTGCTTTTGATCATGGAAATCATGGTGTTGGAACAAGGATGAACAAGGTGTGTGCAAAAACAAATGCAAAACAAGGTTTCATGCATCAAACACATCAACTATATGAAACAAACATATCAGACATATCAAACATATCAAACAAATATCAAACAAATATCAAACACGTGTTTGAAAGTGTTGGCCGTGTGATCAATGGAATCAATGGACACTGCCAGGGCTTTTCGTATCCCTTCTTTGGTGATCGAGAATGGCACTGCCTTCGTTGCGCCGACGAGACATGCATTGCAGGCTTCGAGGCAGAACTCTCCACAAGTTTGACAGTCGTCCCTTGGCGCACCAGAGTCCAGGGGATGAAAACACGACGATTTCACAGAGATTTCACAGAGATTTCACAGAGATTTCACACAGACACAGGATCCGAGGTACGATCGTCGTGTCCAACAGAAATGAGAAAAGTATAGAAAAGTTACAAAAAAGTTGGCGCTCCAGAACATCAGAACATAGAAAAACCATAGAAAACCATAGGATATCGGTCTGCTTCAGTTTTTTCGATGTCTCCAAGGTGAGCTACATTGCATGATTCTCGGCAGCAAGTTGTGGCAGTTGTTTGACCTGGATACATGCGACCTTTGATGAATCATATGAATTCATATGAATCTTAATGTGAAAATTATGTGCCATGAGTGATTCAAGTATTGAACCACTTTGAACGGTCGTCACTTTGAGGTGATTCAGGTGGCTTATGGTGGAACTGAGCTCCAGCTCGCAGGCTCCAGGTAGGTGGCGCACTGCCAAGCAGTGCAACCCACCTTGCATAGATTCGGAACCCTGGGCAAAGTGCTGAAACGGGGCAAAGCCGTGCCGTGTCAGCGTTCCGGGTTTTTCAGAGTTTTCAGAGCTACATAGACAGAACGAAAATGGAGTTAAATTAACTGTTAATGGATGTTAATGGCTGACATGGTGATGCTTGTGATTTCGTTTTGTCCCTGACCTTGAAATGGTGGGTGGTTTCGTCTTGCCCTTGAATCTAGCTATGGACATCTGCTCATGCTCAGAACATCCTGAAGGTCAGGGCTCTCTGTCGAGTGGTGAATGTGGTCTCACTTTCTTCTATTCCAAGGCACTGAATCGGCAGTATCCTACAAGTGCCTGTGGTAGGAAATGGATGAAATGGCAAATCTGCTGTAACGTTGTCACTCCAGAAGCTTGGCACGCTCTAAAAAGCGACAAGAGATGCAGGCCTCGGAGATGAAAGTGACATTGACAGTGCCTGGAGTTTGGGACTTAGACTTCAGCATCTTCAGCATCTTTAGGCGCAGCCGCTTGAGCCAGTGCTGGTCCTTCACAAATATAATCATATACAATATGTTTCACATACATATTTCATATATGTTACATATGATTCGTTTTCGGCTTTGTTCTCTGAGCGGAGCATTTTGATATAGGTTTTGAATGGTTTTGACCTAAAGTTGACCTTAGGTTCGAGGCTCCAGTCACCTGTTCTACTTCTCTGCATCGCGGACGGCCCAGTCACTGATTGAAGACGAAAAGCAGCAGGCTTTGTCGTCCTTTGTCGTGCGAAGGTTTGTCTTTGGCCGAATTCCCTCCTTTTGACCTTGCCATGGCATTCCAAGGTACTGCAATGGCTTGAGTCTTCCGTCCGCAAAATGTGGTCCGGATGTTTGTGGCCAAGGCACAGAGCACATTGATTTGATTGCAGGAGAACGTAATGGAAAACAACATAAACAAATATTTAAAAAGAACATGTAAAGGACCGGTCGGACTCTGTCTGCGAGTCTGCGTACATCGAGGCAAATGAAATCAATTGAACACTACAATAATTTAACCAATTCTAACCAAGCGACGTGTCAGGCTCAGAGCTGATCCAGGGAGTTCTTGGCATGCAGTGCGCAACAGAAGTTGAGAGCTCGGCTCGCGATGCAAAGTACCTTTTCTGACGCAAGAGCAAACACTGTGCTGTATGAAATGTTTCTGACAGCCACAATGTTTCACTCCACATCTCTCAGAGACATCTTTGCCCAAGGTTTGTGACCCAACAGAATGCTGTCGCCAGCTGTTACTTGGATGCAGCACAATCAGATTCGGTCCCATTCGGTCCCATTCGGTCCCATTCGGTCTCATGCACATCGATCTATGACGGGTAGAATTCACTGGCCTTGGGAACTGGAGTCGCGTTGTCACGTCACAATCAAGGCCTGGAATTGTTGACTACCCAAAGGTCCAGTTGAGAACTCAGACGCTGTGCAAAGAAACAGGACTCTCAAAAAAACTCTGATGTGAGGTCCACAGCCTGTGAGTATTCTGATCATTGGTTTGCTGACTGGAGCACGAACTCCACACGAACTCCTTGTGTTTGTAGTTGCTGTATGTTGCTGTGCTAGTTTGTCATGCTTTGAGGTCCTGCCATGGCGCTGAGCGTCTCTGGAGAAAGTGTTGCTCGGCCGAATGCCACTCCACGTTTTTCGGATTCCAAGATCCAGAATTCCGATGAAGTCTGAATCAGTCTGAAGTTCAATGAATTCCGGACATTTGTCCGGTGAAATTTGTCAATATTTGTCATCTCTTTCTCCGCTTCGCCGCTTCGCCGCTTCGCAGGTCCAGACCTGCAGGAGTGTGAGCAATGCTTCCCCATGGACTGCGAGCTCGATTCTGAGGATTCTGAGGTCGTGTGACATGGGCCCGGTATGGAACACATTGGAACACGAAAAAGTCTCGGATAGACTCGGTAGACCAAGCGTTTCTCGGTAGACACATGGAGTTTCATGGAATTTCACGAAATGTGACGCCAAGGTTCAGCATGTGGTCTGAATGGAATGCAGTTGGTGGCTGCTCTGGACTTTGCCAGCGTCATAGGCAAGCCAAACGGCGAGAATATCGGCAACCATCTGGGAGCCTTCGAATCAAACGGATCAAATGTTCTAGACTTCTGTGCAGATCAAAGGAGATTCGCTGAAGGAAACATAAACAGAGGCCCTGAAGAGATGGGACATGTTTGAACTGTTTGTAGTCCGTACCTCGCACCACTTGTGGTCGCGTTTTCGTGCAGAACATCACATAACATATGCAACGATCTCACGCAACCTTTGTTGCGTGCCTGTGTGGATTGCATATCAATTTTGAAGATGATTGGAAAGCCAAAGTCCTTTTAGTAGTCGTAAATGCTGGTTGGTATTAATGTTGATACTACAGTATGACCTTTTCTGTCAACCCATCACATCTCTGTGCAGACGTGCGGGCAAGAACAACGAGTGTGGCAACCCATGCTCTGGTCACGTAAAAGAAACCATCGCAAAGGCCCAAGATCAGAATGAATCTTGCAGAATCCACCTTTGCTTTCAGATTTTTTTTTTGGTAGCTGGGCTTTCACCGTGTTTGAGCTAAGTTGCGGCTGGAAGATCCATTGTGCTACCCAGCGTCGTGTGTGAAGTCGAATGAAGCAACTTGACGAGCAAAAAGATACGCTTCACATCTTCTCAGATACTATTCGTTCATATTCATTCATATTCATTCATTTTTCCCGGAATTGTGCACCAAAAGGATGAAAGAAACAAATCCTTGGTAGCGCACAGCTGGCAGCTGGTGCAGTTGGTGCAGCTGGTGATGATTTCTCATGTTTTGAGAAATTTTGTCTCCAAGGATTGCCTTTGGGGGGCTTGGGACTCCTGGTCCTCGTGTGAACACATGGATGAGTTCCTTGGCCGCCAGCAATGCAGTGTTGAAATTAGAAAATGGTGGAAAGATGACAGTGTCGTGAACATCTGACGTTCTGAACAAACGATATCAATATTATATCAACATTTTACCAACATTATATCAACACTATATCATATATCAACTATGTCAACTTGACTCTCGGACGTCCCAGGTGTTCCATATGTCAACTCGCTCAGCGCTACCGATCCCGGCAGAAGCTTGGATGCTGCCAAAGTGCAGGAGGTTTCACATGTCACATGTTTTGACATGTTTTGGGACATCATGAAGATACGTAAAGATACATGTTCTTATGCCGGCGTTTTGGGGATGCCAAAAATGGTCTTTGTCATGGTTCCCAGTTGCAACCTACATTTGGATTCTACAAAGCTATATGGATAGCTCATTTTCTACGCATCATTTGGAACGGTCAGAAAAATCGAAGATTGAAACATCAGTTGTTACACGTAGCACTTGATAAAGCAACTCCGCATAGCTCGACTACATTTTTTGAGATTCGTGTGTCGCAGAGCACCTTTGTCCATAGTATGTTAATCGAGACTGGAGGTTTTTGGAGATGTATGCAATATAATTTCACAACTTTTTTTGCTGGCTCAGCAATTTGCGTATGTAAACTATTGTAAACTGCAAATGGTAAACAAGTTGTACAGCAGTTCAAACTTTTCTATCCAACTGACCCTGCTGAGCGCAAGAATACCACAACATACATATTGTACGAATTTGTACGATGTAACAAGTTAACAGAACACTGAAGATACTTATTACTACAATGTTCAAAACTTCGTAGCTGCAATTCTGCATATTTGGCTTTGATGAAAGATTCAAACCAGATAACAGGAAACCAGAAACAACACGGCAAGATGTTTGATTCATACAGCATAAAAAGAAGCTTTCTGATGCACACATGGAATCTGATACACAACATTAAGTATGAAACTCAAAGCGAGTTGCCTTTTCATTGAAAGATAAGCCTTTGTACCTATTTACTTGCTTCTTGGAATAAAAGTACCTCAACATAGTGTTCCATATCATAATATGATGCATATCTAGCAACAGAAGCATACATATCGTTTAGCAAATAGTTTAGATCCTTAGCCCGTAAACAGTTTTGTCATGAGCTACTGTAATTTATAGTCAGTAGCATTGACCATTGGCAGCACTGTCCATGTTTCTGTGTATTCATCCATCGATATTTTGTGTATTCCGTAATTTTTTCTCTGAGTATTCTACGAGCATGTTTCGATCACAAATTTAGAGGGCATGCACGGAACCTCTTATTTGCGAAGCTTCTTTTTGAGCTTTTTTGGTTGTTTGCTAGACCTAACAAGAACTGCCTACAGGTTTTTGTTTGAGCGCACAAGCTCAGAAGAGACGTGGGAACCATCAGTCAGATTTATTGATCATGGTGCAAGTTTACAAAATCAAGTACAAATACATTCTCAAGTTTGCATGTTTTGTGATTGCATTCCTACCTTTGCAATTCTATGCAGGGCTTAGATTACCACAAAAAGTTCTGGGTGCGGGAAATATTTGCATAATAGATTGTGTTTGTAATACTTGTGGATATCAGTGTAGATTTCTTGCATCCTCTTGAGACACTGATAGATAGCATCTATGTTTTTGCCTGTCTTGTATCGCTGAAGACCTCTCTGACCACGTGTGCGATTGCAGAGTTGATAGCATGCAGAATAGGCGTCAAGAGGGACAATCTTTACTTGGAGGACAACTAGGACATTTATTAAACAGGGCATCTAGAAACGATCAGCAGTTCAGTAGGTAAAAGGAAGTGTAGTCATAAAAACATATAAAAACCATACATGTACGGTGCAGATTCATGGACGATTCCAAGGATTTTGGTGGATGCCAAGGGCGATGGAAGAGCATGCGTAGGAGCTGAGAAGATTGGAATCACTCATCTTGGAACATGACCTGCGCGTGGATGATCATTTTGTTGGCTCATTGAAATTTGCTGTGGATGTTGACAGAATAAATCTTAATACTGTTAATACATTGTTAATACTCTTTTTTCTACATCAAATACTACATTATACATTTGTGTAATATGTATTAAATGTATTAATATGTTGCATTTTCTGTTTGATTTCTTTGATTTGTCGGATTTGGATCATTTTTAGTTTCGATGTTTGGATTCTTGCTGAGCTGCTGGCGCAGGAACCTGGAACGAAACCGAGCCATGTCAGCCGTCGCATGCCATCGACTGCGAGCTCTCCGAATGGGCAGAGCTTTGCTCTCAGAATCGACGTCGTTTCAAAAAGTTTTGAAAGTTTTGTTTTTCCTGTGGAGATAAAGCGAAACCTGTGGAGATTCTGTGGAGATTCTGCTTGTGGATTGACTCAGATTGAAACCTGACAAATTGGCACTGCAATTTGCACTTGACAGACTTGACAGACTTGACAGACTTGACAGACTTGACAGACTTGACAGACTTGACAGACTTGACAGACTTGACAGACTTGACAGGTGGACAACTTGCAGCAAGAGCTGTGGGCTGGGATGGCAGGCAAGGCTTCCCAAAAATCCAGTCGTTGCTGTCAATCCGTCCCGAAAAGTGGGAACCGAAACAGCTAGTGCAGCTATTGCGGCTGCTCTTTGAGATTGAGTCGGAGCATGGATAAGCATGGATAAGCTATGTCAGTTTTTGAAAATTTATTTCCTCCCATTGTTGGCCCAGGCACGAATGCGTCGCGTGATGCAGGAGGCCATGTTTGGTGGAAGGCCTTGTGCTCCGGTCGTGCACACAGACACAGAGAACTCATATAGAGAACTGTTCTGTGACAGTCGACAGTCTCTGACAGTCGACATTGGAGTTTTGTCCACCACTAGCTGCACTAGCTGCACTAGTGGCGCTCCAAGGCTGAGATCTATGACCAGGGCTTGGTTGTCAGACAAACGCCAGGAATCCCCAGCGCCCCAGGATTGTACTCCAATCTGTTTGGAAGTGTAACCTCACAGAAAGATGAAGAAAGCGTTTTGCTTCGACATATCTCCCTCTTCCATCCTCCTTTAATGAGTTTCACTGTAAAGTTGACCGAATTGTAGTTTCTGGATTCCAGTGCTCGAGGCAGCCTTGTAATCAACAAAGCTGTGACGACCCAGTGCCTTGTGTCCTCTCTGAGTGGAGTGCCTGGGAAGGGCTCGAAGTCTCAGCTGGGACTGGGGCGAAGCAGCGGCGAAGCATAGACCGACAGACTGAACATTAGATTAAGATAGATTATGTATATTTATGTATATTATAAGCATAGGCAAATCTGTGACAAATCTGCGAAAGTGCGACCTTTCACAGCTTTCACAGCGTTTCAGATGGAATAGATCAGAATAGATTCCAACGACCCGAGAGTGTAGATGCTGTGATGATGCCATGAGATGCCATGAGGTGCAATCGACACACTCCATATCAGAAGTTTCGCTTCCGCGATGTCCTGCAGACAGAAATGAATGGTGGAAAGCCTTGCGATGTGAGCCTGAACCAGACAGCATCTCGTCTGGACTGAGCACTCGACTCGCTTTGTGCATAATGTGGATGCTATTATATAAAAGGATATAAAATCTATGCTGTAAGTTTCATTTTTTTTTTTCTGGTTCTATCTGGTTCTATCTGGTTCTAGGCTCAAGCTTTTCAGCAAAATCTCATTGTGAGGCTGGGTGTCCGGAGCCTCTTGAAGACAAGCCGAAGCCACCATGCGTATTTGGAGAGTGGCCCTGCACCTAGCCCTTTCTTCATCCGAATTTTACTGTAGAATCTGCACCTTGAGCTTTGATAGCTTTGATATGCAGTGGCACAAGCAAGAGACTCGTATGATCTCGTATGACCAATGTCCAACAAAAACACATTAAGAAGATCAACACGATAAACGATATGATACATTCTTTTATAGTTTTGAGATCAGTATGTTACTAAGTTATTACTGTGTCTTGTGAGCATATCACACGGGAATGAAATGGCTGGTCTCCAAAGGTCAGGATGGAGTGAGTGCTCTGGGACTTGTGGTGGCCAGACTCACCGCTCACGGTTCGAAACCCAGCATCGGACTGGCCTGATCAAACACATCACTGAGCACTGTGCAATGCAACCAATGCATACCAATGCAACAAGATAAGAAGCTGCAGAACAAAGTGCAACAAAGAGAACAACAGAATACCACAGAGTATGACATCATTTGTATCAAACATATTGGTCTTGAGAACATTTATGATTGGAAGACACATGAAGACACTTTGTTTAGTCATTTCACCTTCTGGGGACGCCACAGCGCAGGAGCATTACAGACAATGGAAACTGCATTCTGCCGGGGCAAGCAAGTCGCACAGGAACCTTGACGGCAGATGACGGCAGATGACGGCAGATGACGGCAGATCCCAGGATTTCATGTTGACGGATCGACACGGAAACAAACAGTTGACAGGTTACGGTATAGATACGCTATGAACATCTATGAACCATGAAATTTATTGAAATATGTGATGAAATATTGAAATGAAATATGATATGAGAAATCATGACATGATGAGAAATGCAGTTGTTTGCAGAAAAGAAATCACCCGCAAGATCCTGGATATCCTGGGACCCTGAGATCTTTGTCTGGCTTCAGGCGCTGTCTTGAAGGAGACCGTTGCATGCGGTGGTGATCCAAGTCAGTGCCGTGTGTTTCATGCGATCTATTTGATTCAATTTGTCCATCTTCGTGCGAATCACATGTGACAGTCTTTCTGGTTGATCACAATCGGATCACAATTGAAGTATCAGTTGATCAATGTTCTGATGCTCGAGACCAGTATCAGTAGCTTGTGATCAGCAGCATGTTATACGATTCCACACCGACCAACTGATCAACTTGATACTTCCGCATAAGGCCAGCGAGAATGCTCTACCAGCAGCTGCCGACTGTCGACAGCTTAGACTTGCACCGGAATTTGTGCCCCACATGGCCATTGGATCAGTCGTTCAACTGACATTCAATCTATTCCATGTAAGAACAGTCCTTACTATCAGCTTTCAGCCTTGCGTCTGATTTGAGGTCCATGTGGGAAGAGTGGTCCAAATGCACTTCTGCTTTGGGCTGAGACTCCATGGGCCCATAGCCTTTTTTTTTTGCAAAAGGATTTGCGTTCAGTTGAAAGATTGGTCAGTAATATCAGTAATGCAGAAGGCACCTGGGGTCCCTGGCAGCCGAATTTCGATGAATCTGTGACAGGCACAGCCGTTGAACAGATGGAACGCTGAGGATTGTGGCATTGGCGCCACCTGGAGAACACGCAAGGTGCGCTATTTTTCAAAACATCTGAAACAACAACACAGGTGTAAGACTTTGCAACGGTTGTCACTTCTCATCACTTCACGTCACTTCTTGTTGCTTTTCACACGTGAAAACTTCGTAAAACTTCGGTTTCCCAAGATCGCTGAACAGATCCTGGAGATTGGCGACACCCTTGGCTGCAACACCGCTTTGGAAGAGGCTATGCTGGGCACGAGGGCATCAGTTGGGCCAGAGCTGGGAACTGGTGCAACAGAAGTGTGTACAAAATTTGATCTGAAATTATTTCCATATGATTTACATTGTGCTTCAAGTCAAATTTTAAAGTTTGCAAACCCCAAGCCGCTTAAGCCGCACTCCACCCTTCTTTGGAGACCCGCCCCAAGCTTTGACACTTGCCCTGCCTGACGCCATGACGCCATGAGACTTGTGTCACTGTGTTAAGCCGAGGTGAAAGCCTGTGAAGACAAGCAGTGCGACGGCATCGACTGCCTTTGGGGTGAGTGGAGCCCCCGGTGCAGCGACAGTGACGACAGTGACGACAGCGACAGCAGTGACGGTAGGTCTGTGCCCATCTTTGGCTAAGTCACTCGAAGTGTTCTCGAAGTATTCGGACATGTTTCTAGTCTCAGTGTCTTCGACGAATTCGATATCTACTAATCTACCGTTCTTTCTTTCCATGATTTGGACATCTGTAGACATCTGTAGACATCTGTAGACATCTGTAGACATCTGTAGACATCTGTAGACACTGTAGATTACGGTAGCTGAAGGGATGGTCTGGGGTGCCATAGGGCGATGGATTGTTTAAAGCTTCTGCTGGACATTGGACGTCTTACAATTCGGAAAAAGCGAAACGGGGGCATAGAACACTCATAGAACATCCATTGAACGTCATGTGAGTCACGTGAGTCATGTGAGTCATGTGAGTCATGTGAGTTATGTGTTTGAATGTGCATGAAGGTGTTTCAATGATTTTGAGTGTATCCATGACAGAGAATGAGGTGGGAGGCGTGGGGTGCTTGTACATGCACATGCGGTGGTGGCATCAAGCGACGCAACCGTATCATTGTCGTCCAGAGCTCGGATCAGACACTGAAGATTTCGAGAAACGACCAATTTCGACCTGAGGTCTCTCCCCGAAATGGAGGACGCCTTTGTGAGCCCAAGGACAAATATGAGGCAACGGGCCATGGTTGACAGAAGTCAGAGTGTACCAATATATACCAATATATACCAATGTATACCATCTTTTTAGTCCTTGGGTCCTTGACCAATGAAAACCATGTGGATTTCTGTTCAACGAGTACCGGAGCCAATTTCCAACTTTCAACCTCCTGAAGCACCGGAAAAGACCTCTGGATCCTCTGGCAGATTTGGGAGGTCGCACCATGCAGTACCCAAAGCTGTGATGAGTGCGTTGATGGCCGATGGAGTAAATGGGGCAACTTGGATCAACTTGGCATCATTTCGGAGTTGACACTGTTGGACTTGCAAGAACTGTGTGCCGAAGTTCAGCGAGTGGCTTTTTTGGCTGCGCTGCCTTTGAACATATTGAAAGATATTGAAAGGTGCATGGGGCAAGTGTTCCAGCGACTGCAGCCCAGCGTACAGGCGTCGAGGGAAATTCTGTTGGGAAAATCGTCTGGGAACATCTGGGAACCACATGACGTCAGTGGTCTGCCCAGGGTCCGACATCGTAACGTGGCCGAGCATCCCAACAGCTGTGGCAAGCCTGCCACAGGCGCGGTGGCTACGTAGATTTGCAATTTTTCTGCTATTGAGACTTGCATGCATACGGTGTATATATATATACACATATACATTCATCATATACACATTTCATCTCATTTTTGCATGTTATACACGTTACGTATCTATTCTTTTGCCCTCTTTGTTTTCAGATTTGTACGGAGCTCTCTAAGTGGAGAGGCCTTGAGGACGAATACGAGCTGTGCCCCGGACTCCCTAGTTGCGTCGGCTGCCTAGATGCAGTATCTTCTGAGTGTAAATTTGAACCATTTGCCGTCAATAAAGTTAATTTACCTCATTTAACACATTTAACTCATTTGGATGCGTCATGATGCGTCAATGTGGGGCCGTGTAAAAAAAATAGAACAGCGATTCGCGCGCCCCAAGGAGCCTGACCAAGACTGCGGACTTTCTGGTTGGAAGGAGTGGCCTGGTGCCCAGAGGACATGCACACGCACGTGGCGCACACGCTGCCGTCAAACTTTTCTGCTTTCAACCATTTTTTTTCAGGTTTCACAGGTTTCACAGGTTTCACAGGTTCTGCATGCAGTGCCTCATTACGGCACATTTGACCCTTGCATGATCCTTTGTGATGATCTATGAAAATTGAAAGGTCCGACTGCAGCAGCAAGTGCTTTGGCGTACAGGAACGGCAGCGAAATGCTTGTGCCTCAGAAGTTTACCTTGGCACCAGTGGCACCTTCTGCCACCTTCTGCCACCTTCTGCTTCCTTATACTTCTTTCTTGTTTTTTCTTTCTGCTTGTTTTGCAGCGTGGTGATCAAGTTGTGTGCCAAGTCTCTCCTTGACATGGCAGTGGTGTATGTGGCATGCAGCATAGTACAGTGACAAATCAGCCTCTCAGGTTGAGAAATTTGCACGGGGCAATGGGAAGTCGTGTGTGCATACCTCACTGAAAGAGGCGCGGAGAAGCATCCAAGATTGAGCGCAGAATGCAAGATGGAATTCATTGGAATTCATTTGAATTGAGGTCTGCCACTGCACTCCCAGTCCTCTGGGTTTCTGTATTGCTTTGTGCCGTTGCTCTGCCTTTGTTCTTTTGCAGTCAGGTGAGGGCTTGCAATCCTCTGTTTGGAGAGACAGCAGAGAGCGAGTCAACCAGTCGCGTTTTGAGGACAACTTGCAAAGCTGAAATCAAAGCAGCATAGTGACATAGCCTGACATAGTGTCAAAACGAAAAAGAAGAGACGCTGTGGAAGGGAAAATCAGGAAAGGTCAGAAAAGAAAAACAACGAACTGCCGAAACAACAGCATCTGATTCTTCAAACGAACTGCCGAAACCGAAGACTCGACAAATAAAGAAGAGCTCCATGGCACCCATGCAACTTAAACACCATATTTTTGTTTGGAAATCCTTAGAGCCTTAGAAATCCTTAGAATAGCAAGCAGAATTCGACATCTTTGTTTTGCTCCGCATTGCCTTGATCTGCCAGTTGCCAACCGAACATTCCCAAGTCCTGCGTGATCGGCTCCTGGGACAAATGGCCACAGCCTTGGAATGTTTTTGCAGTTTTGAACTGAACAAAAACTGCAGCACCTGAAAACTTCACTTAGTGACTTGACATGTGGAGAGAAATGGTGAGAACATGTGAACTGTAGTTGTTACATGTAGTTACTGTAGTTCGAGCTGTGTAAAGAATTCCAAGAACCATAGCGCGGGGACTAAGTCTTATGTATTATGTAACAATTATGTAGGTTTTGAATATTTTTGAATTGACAAACCTGCTCTCTGGTCGTGTCTCATGTGGTTGCTGGATGTTAGTGTTTCTTGGTCACTGATGCAGACTGATGCACCGTGTCGACCAAGGACTGAATGCAGTGTGTCTTGCGGAGGTGGACACCGGAGCCGCGTCCGCCAGGCTGGAAGTTTGAACAGAGTCAGGGAAAGCGATGACGAAGAGATGTAGAAATGATGCAGATATGACAAGAAATGACAAGTCTCAGAGCAAAACCATCAAAACATATCAAAACCGTTACATGAAGCATACTTGCAGCAATGAAGCATGTACAATATGAAGGAGTAGGGTTCCGCTTCAAAAGGCTTTCCAAGGCATTCCTTGACACGGCACAAGCGTTCGAAGTCTTCGAAGCACCCAAGTCACAGGTTCTGAGCCCTGCAGCAAACGGCGGGGAGTCAACAGCTTAGATCAGCTTACATCAGCTTAGACGTCGAAGTCGACACCAAGAGCACACTGCGGAGGATTCAGGATACGACCAAGATATGCACAAGATTTAGCAGGCAATCAGATGACTGTCGACCGCCTTTAGGACTACCATTGGAGGGAGGATATCAATTGATATCAAGGTAGTAACATGTAGAAACATGTATCAGATGTATCAACCCCTGCACGGAAGCGAAAGCCACAGCCCACGTCATGAGATTTCCAGAGCCGGACAGAAGACATCCATCCGACGTCCTGAGGGCTTGCAACGCTGCTCTGGAAATGGTGGAGCCATGTGGGGAAAAAGTGTGCCTGGGCACTGGCACCGCCTAAGGCTTTGGAGGTGACAATTCATTTTTTCCTTGATCAATAAGCCAGGCAAAAGTAGATATGTTTTTTTTAGCCACAAAAAGTCGAGATACCAGATTGGATGTGTCGTGGTCCTCCTGGTGGATGTCATTATGCTTGTGATATTTGTTAACATTTATTACCAGCTCTTTTTCATTCATTTTTATAGGCATAAATCGGCATAAACTATAAATGGATATAAATTTCAAAACAGAGCTCTGTTTATGTATGATATGACAACATATATTATATCACTCGTATTTATCATGCTTTTGAGGCCAGATTTTGGCCGTTGGAATCCGTGATATTGTAAGTAGTCAAAATTTATTGTTGCGGTGAAATGTGCATTTTTATACCCGTTTACATAAATGACTTTTACAGATGCAAACTGCTAACCGTTCGTTTTCGCGGTGTCAACCCAGGTGCGATGAGAGTGTTTGCGTGGACTGTGTTTGGGAAGCGTGGTCTGAATGGGGCGCATGCACCAAGCCAGAGACCCAGACAAAACCACCGGATGCACAAGGACGTGTTGTTTTTGGACCACATACGTTTATCACGGTATATCCTCAAACCAATAACAAATAAGAAAGCAAAAAAAGGGATGCAGGACTTTGGACATGCTCTCTTGTCAAGCAAACCCAGACAACCAAACTTTTTGGGTGTCAACGCTCTAAGACAGAATCAATTCAAAACTCAAAGACAATGCCAAGCCTTTTTCGGAGAAGCTTAGCATACAGAATTGGCACCAAGGGCATCAGTAATTGCGGTGACACTCACCTTTCGGCTTAAAGATGCTTAGAGGCTTAGAGAGTTCAGTATGCAAACTTGACTTCAAGGTGTGGTGACCAGCGCTTCCGTCACCGCAGCTTGGTTGAAGTCCATTGAAGCGACACTGATTGTGACAGCGCTTTGCTGTTTTTTGTACCAACGCTTTTGCCGTTTCTGGTTTGTTTCTGGTTTGTTTCGTTAGTTTCGCTCTGTTTCACTGATCATTTTCATTGTGGCTTAGGTAACATCGCAAGGGTCCCAAACCATTGTGGAAAGCGCGGGCACCCGGCACTTGGGGCAGAACTTGTCGTGCAGGGTACAGCATGGTACCAGCGTCGGACCAGTGCAGCTGTACATCAGTGAGCAGTGTCTGCCATGTCATGTGCCATCAAAGCTGCCTTGGGATAGGTAGAAAACATGTTGAATATCTTAGAACACATTTGATTTAGTGAGCTTGCACATCTCAGTTAGCTTGACCATCTCCTGACCCTTTTTGTTCGCTGCCCTGGCTGAGGCCTTGTGATTCCAAAGCAGCCAAAGAGTTGGGTACGTGTCACAGCTTGGATCTCAAAGCTACAAACTGTGAAGGCAGCACAATTTTGGCGTTTCTTCTTTGGTTTTCATTTACATGTTTGTAGCAGGTAGATGCGATGTCCGTAACCCTTTTTTTCAATACCTTCCGCCTTCCCCCTGTATTTTTGTGTCGAAAAGTTGTTTTTTCATGTGTCCTGGGACTCTTAGGTGATTGTGAGAAGAGCTTTCACTGCTCCTGGTTGGAAGCTTGGAGGTTACTGGCGATTTGTTGACAAGCCTCTTGTCATTCTTGTCACATCTTGTGCCGAGGATTGCAAGAAACAAGACTTGACACACTAGGGCTCTTACTGGCTCCTTAATGTCTCTTCATGGCTCTTAAGCACTGCGAGGTTTGGATTTCGTAACGTACCCACTGAGGTCCATGTGGACAGAAATGGGTGCATGCTCACGCACCTGTGGGCCGTGCTCCCCAGCAAGTTGAATGTTAAAACCGCAGGAACAAACCGGAGAGAGTGTTACGAATTTCTATCCCTTCATTTGGGTCTTCGTGAAGGAATAGCGGCAAGTTGAAAAACAATGGAAAAACAAAGGTAGCAACTACAATTTCTTTGCTTCCAACCGAGGACCGGCACTCTCATGCGGCAGCGTGAACTTGTTTTGAGCAAGGAGAAACCATACGAGGAGCGGGAAAAGAGATGGATGGCCGGATGGCCGGATGGCGGTTCCGTTTGGAGTTGGGAGGCTTGCTGAGGTGGTTCGGAAGTTTGCGAAGTTTGCGAAACTTTTGTTTAGCCATTTAGCTTGTCTTTCTAAATCTTTCTTTCCATGTCAGGATCAACTCTTCTTCACAACGACTGTCGACAGCTCGTGCAGTGGCAGCCAAGTCACAACGGAGGCTTTCAAAGCGTTGAGCCGCAGAGCCGTGGAGCTTTGGCTTTTGGGTTTCATCGTCTCACCTACACCTTTAGAATCACTTAGAATCCTTTAGAATCCTTTAGAATACTTAGATCACTTTAGTGATCTTTAGTGTATTTGCTCTGTGGCCCTGCCAACCCGTCTGAGAGAATAGCTCCTTTTGGTGTCTCGTTTTGAAATGGTTGAAGCTGCCAGGTGTGCCATGGGCCAAGTTGCCTTGGATGTGAACCGCAGGACCATCTTTGCCTAGGAACAAGTGCAATAAATAGTGATAAAAGATGATCAAAGTCTATAAACAAGGGCATAGCGGCATAAACAATGATGAACATAGTCAGCTAGTTGAAGTGGCGTCGACTCATTTTCGTTCCGCAGGATTGTGCCTTCAATGAGTGGTCGGAGTGGTCAGCGCCAACGTGGGTGGACCCAGACTCTGTTTGCGGAGGTTTGAAGCCAGAGATGTTGTTTGAAAGTGAAAGCAGAAACCAAGTGAAACCAAGTGAAACCAAGTGAAACCAAGTGAAACCACGTGAAAGAGAGAGAGAGAGAGAGAGTTTCACTCGATGAAGTGCTGATCGCAAGTGGTCACTTAGTGACCGGGTTGCAGCTGAGTTGGTTTCTCGGTCTTCCTCAGTCCTCGATTTCAGGTGCACGCAGCTGTGTGAGCGACATCGTACGGTGCAGCAGGAGCCCAACACACTGTCACATGATGCTGGCAGAGCGGGATGCGCCAGAAAACCACATATCTGAAACCGTCATCCACATGGCAGAAATCATTTATCGAAATTTATAATTTATAAATTAAATACTATAATTTTGTTTCATAATTGTTTTTTTTTCCTTATGCTTTTTCATGAAAGCGAGATCCCACGCCAAAATGGCACCAGATGGCACCCAAATCTAGATCCAAGTCCAAGACGCCTTTTTACATGGAGCTGTGCTGTATGTGCTGAGAAAATCATGAAGAACAACAAAAACTTGACAAAAACACAACATATTCAGAACACAATTCCAAAATGCAAACCATGCTGCAACTCAATATGTTTTTCACATTCACAGTCAGACTACCAGATGGTTTTGATAACTTCAACAACACTAACACACACACAAACACCTTCAAAGGGCAAGCATCTCTGCAATTTCCAATGCTTTTGTGCAGTCGCAGTAAAAGAAAATTGTAAATGCATCGGATGTTCTGCGGCGTAGAAGGGCACCAACAACTGCTATTTCCAGCGTCGTTTGAATCTACCCTGAATCATTCAATTAGAAAATACCAAGTATACCGATATTGGCAGTACTTACTTGACTTATGCATATTATGCATACTTATGCGTCCCTGCTCTAGAAAACACCACCAATACAGCTTTTCGTCCATTTCAAGATGTTTCCAAAAAGTGCAATCTGCAAAATACAGCATGTTCCGTCAACAGAAGACCCCAAAGCTGTACAAGAAATAAACATCGGAAACCAACCTGATGGAGTCGTCAAAAGGGTATTCGAGGTGAGCCTTTTTCAGGACCCACAAAACCACCCCAAGGGCCTCCGTGGTTCCAAACCCTATGGTGTGTGTAAAAAAGATTGAACTACAGACCAGATATCTTGAAGCTGTGGCTATGGGCCATTATGGGCCTATTCTAACGGCACTGTCTCACCAATGCGTGCGCTCCCCTACGTGGTGAGCAGCTGTGGCGGGTGTTTATTGTCTCCGCTGCGTGGCATGGAAATGTGGCAAAGCTCTCCAAGATTTCACGACTTGACACGACTTGACCTGGATATTCTATGATATTCTGATATCTTTGCTGGGCCCATTCTGCAAGGACAGCAGTTGCGGTGGCAAGCTGTGCAGCGGTTCTCTCTTGGAGACCAAGAGGTGGGGTGCAATTGTAATCTTATGATGCTCATGATTGCTGTATGATTTTATGTCTTGAAACCTTTTTCCCATGTCTCGTAGTAAGGCACCATTTCATAGTCTGGCTGTCTGCCTGTTTGTTCCATCACACTTCATCAGTTTCTTTAGGGATATGAAACTTGGTCCGTGAGTGCACGTTGCTTGACATCCAGTGACATCCAGAGACATCAAGTGACAGGTGTGAAAGAACTTGCAATGACCCTGTGGATTGCGTCTTCGGCGAATGGGGTCCAGCTGCCACGATTATGGCGGCTTCGCTTCACAAAGCTTCACAAAGCTTCGCTTCGCCTTTTCCCAGGTGAGTGGATGGGCGAATGCCTGAGCCCAACCGATCAGAGGCGAAGACTTCAGGTCCAGGAGGTACAGGTCTGTACATCTGTACAGGTGCTGAGCCGTAAAACATCGTAAAACCGTAACGTTGGCACGTCAAGTACTTGGAAAGATCTTGGAAGTACTTCACTGGTGTTTTGACATGTTTTATGACACGTTTTATGACAGGTATCAGCATCGCAGCATTGAGAAGCCTGCAATGAACGGTGGTGAACAGTGCCATGGTGCCAGGGATCCCAGGGATCCCGGGGATCGGGATTCGGAAGGACTTGGACAACGTGGACAACGTGGACCTTGAGACTCCACCAAGGCAACGAAGAACACTCAGCCCTGTGGAGGCGACATTCAACAATGCGAGGCCCGGACACAGTCGTTGCATGTCGTTGCAGCATATTTGAGCAATATTTAAAGTATTTTGTTTGAGTTCTCGCAAACTTAAAAAATCAAGTCTGTAAGTCTGTTGGCTAAGTTGAAGTCTGTAAGTACCAGCAGCATATCATCCATGGCTTCCGATGCGTGGGAGTACAGCCATGCATCCGCCAGTTGAGCGTATGGGGCTCATGGTCTGTGTGTACTGCCAGCTGTGACGGCGGTGTGATGACAAGGCGCAGTTCATGTTGTCAGGCATAACAGGTCAAAACTCACAAGATGTAGGAGCACTATAGAGCACAGTACATTCAGAGATATTGTATACATATATATTATATAATATTATATATATATATATATATATACGCAATATATATAGAATGGGCTAGCGCCCTGGTGCCGCCGACCCCTCTATTGGGGGTGAAAGGACAAAGCCGGCGTCTGCATTCACGGCGGGTCGATGGAAACGAGCAGATGCGGCGAGAGTATGCAAGGAATGCATTCGTAGGCACGTTGAGGCGCAGCAGCCGTGGCAATGCATGGCTTGCACGGCGTGGAAACAGGAAGATGCATTCAAGACAGAACATGCAAGGCCACAAGCCACATTTTATCGTATTTGTAAGACGTGCGAACAGACACAAGTGTGTAGTGTTTGCAATACGCGCAAGGACGAAAAGAAATTTTCTGGCGGGGCCTGGAAACGAGCACGCAGGGGCGGTAGAGTGTGTTTCGATTGTTCGGGTAAAGCATGGGGCTGGTGGAGATGCAGCGTCTGCAAGGTAAAGCAAGCAGCGTGCGCTTTTGAATCCTGGCTGGCGCAACATCGTTCTTGTAATGGTGACCAAGTCTGTAGCAACTGCTGGCAGTGCCCCATTCCCCGGGGAAGCATCAGCAAAGCAGTACAGCGGGTAGCGGCAACGCAGGCGAAAGTCGCGCGGAGGGCAGCGGAAGAAACAAAGGCACGCGCCATCGCCGATGTCTGGGCTGCCATCGCGGAAAGAAAACGGAAGAGAGAAGAGGAGGGCACGCGAACGCACGAGACAAAGCCGGAGGCAAAACAACGGAGAGAAGACGAAAGGGCAGAAATGACCAGTGCGAATGCCGAGGATGCCAGCACAGAACAAAAACGGAGAAGAGAAGTGGAGGAGGCCAGAACACAAGAAGGAGAACCAAAAGAAAAACAACGCAAAGACGAGACAGGAAAGGCCGAAGAAAAGCAGAGAGCCTTGCAAGCAGGTAAAAGGCAGGAAGGCAGCAAGCCCAGCAAGGAGGAGACTTTGCCGGCAAAGAAACGACAAGCAACGCAGAGGGGACAGAGTTTCAAATATGTCTGTCCTGCTTGCGCGCAGTCAGTGATCAGCAGAATAGGCACAGGGGAAGTAGATCATCGGCGAACCTGCGGGAAGCGATTCCGAGTGAAAGACGGTGTTGTGGCAGAGGAATCTGTTGTTTACAAATGCCCATTCTGCAGTGGCCTTGTGAACAGCAATGTGAAGACAGGGCAAATCAACCACCGGGGTGTCTGTGGGCATAAATTTTCGGTAAAGGACGGCGTTGTCGCAGGAAAAAGTTTTGCTTACCAGTGCCCATTTTGCAGTGGACTTGTGAACAGCAATGTGGAGACAGGGCAAATCAACCATCGATCTGTGTGCAACAATCAATTTTATGTCAAGGACGGTGCAGTCAGCAAGCAGACACGGCGTCATGCGCACAGTTGCCCCGTCTGCTCCACTGTTGTTTGGTCATCGCTGTCACGTGGCCGCATTGCTGTCAAGCATGACATGCCATCGGGAAAACCATGTCACAACAAGCAATGGCACGTTCCCGAGACAAAGACAACGAAAACAAAAAAGAAATGAAAGCCATTGGGCTGTCGAGCACCAACTGCATGGAGGCTGCCTGCACGCAGGCGTGTGCAAGTGTTGCAGGCGCGCAGACGGCGCCTGGAACCCAATGCCACGGCCTGAAGGACTTGTCGAAGCTGCAGGATGGGTCTGCCGCGGCCCGAGTGGCGCGTGGGAGTTGCAGGGAAGCGTTAGGGGAGTTTTGAGGACTTTGGGCGTTTGGAAGGCTCCAAAACGCAGGCTTGAACCTCCATAAAAAGACAATGTCGCAGCTGGCAAACGGCATGGGAGCTGCAGAGAAGCGTTTGGGAGTTTTGCGGCTGGCAAACGGCACGCTGGAACCCCCAGACAAGGACAATGCCGGGGCTGGCTAACGGCATGGGAGCTGCAGGGAAGCATTTGGTGGGTTTTGCGGGCGGGCAAACGGCAGGCTTGAACCACCATAAAAGGACAATGCCGGGGCTGGCGCAGGGAAGCATTTGGGGGGTTTTGCGGGCAGGTAAACGGCAGGCTTGAACCACCATAAAAGGACAATGCCGGGGCTGGCAAACGGCATGGGAGCTGCAGGGAAGCATTTGGGTTTTGCGGGCTGGCAGACGGCAGGCTTGAACCACCATAAAAGGACAATGCCGGAGCTGGCAAACGGCATGGGAGCTGCAGGGAAGCATTTGGGGGGTTTTGCGGGCGGGCAAACGGCAGGCTTGAACCACCATAAAAGGACAATGCCGGGGCTGGCAAACGGCATGGGAGCTGCAGGGAAGCATTTGGGGAGTTTTGCGGGCGGGCAAACGGCAGGCTTGAACCACCATAAAAGGACAATGCCGGGGCTGGCAAACGGCATGGGAGCTGCAGGGAAGCATTTGGGTGGTTTTGCGGGCTGGCAGACGGCAGGCTTGAACCACCATAAAAGGACAATGCCGGGGCTGGCAAACGGCATGGGAGCTGCAGGGAAGCATTTGGGGGGTTTTGCGGGCTGGCACACGGCAGGCTTGAACCACCATAAAAAGACAATGCCGGGGCTGGCAAACGGCATGGGAGCTGCAGGGAAGCATTTGGGGGGTTTTGCGGGCTGGCAGACGGCAGGCTTGAACCACCATAAAAGGACAATGCCGGGGCTGGCAAACGGCATGGGAGCTGCAGGGAAGCATTTGGCGCGTTTTGCGGGCGGGCAAACGGCAGGCTTGAACCACCACAAAAGGACAATGCCGGGGCTGGCAAACGGCATGGGAGCTGCAGGGAAGCATTCGGGGAGTTTTGCGGGCTGGCAAACGGCAGGCTTGAACCACCATAAAAGGACAATGCCGGGGCTGGCAAACGGCATGGGAGCTGCAGGGAAGCATTTGGAGGTTTTGCGGGCTGGCAGACGGCAGGCTTGAACCACCATAAAAGGACAATGCCGGGGCTGGCAAATGGCATGGGAGCTGCAGGGAAGCATTTGAGGGTTTTGCGGGCTGGCAGACGGCAGGCTTGAACCACCATAAAAGGACAATGCCGGGGCTGGCAAACGGCATGGGAGCTGCAGGGAAGCAGTTGGGGGGTTTTGCGGGCGG